CTGCATAGACATTTCATAAAAGAAGACACAAAAACTGGCCAATGGGTTTTTGAAAAAAAATGCTCAACACCAGTCATCAAAGAAATGCAAATCAAACCACAATGAGATGCCATCTTCCACTAGTTAGAATAGCTTTTATCAAAAAGACAAGTAACGGTGAGACCCCATCTCTACTAAAAATAGAAAAACTATCTGGGTATGGTGGCACATGCCCATAATCCCAGCTACTCAGGAGGCTGAGGCAAGATAATCTATCTCCTGAGCCCAAAAGTTTGAGGTTGCTGTGAGCTATGATGATGCCACAGCATTCTACTCAGGGCAATGGAGTAAGACTCTGTCTCAAAAAAACAAAAACATCTCCTAACTAAAAAAAAAAAAAAGTATGATCCAGTAATACCACCACTTACCCAGAAGGAAAGAAAACGATATACTTAAGAGATTATCTGCATTCCCTTTTTGGGTTTTTGAAACAGAGTCTCACTTTTGTTACACTCAGTAGAGTGCTACGGCATCATAGCTCACAGCAACCTCAAGCTCTTGGGCTCAAGTGATTCTCTTTCCTCAGCCTCCCAGGTAGCTGAAACTAGAGGTGTCTGCCACAATGCCTGGCTATTTTTAGACTGGGGTCTCACTCTTGCTCAGGCTGGTCTCAAACCTGTGAGCTCAGGCAATCCACTCGCCTCAGCCTCCCAAAGTACTGGGTTACAGGCGTGAACCATAGCACCCAGCCTTGCATTCCTATGTTTACTGAAGCACTATTCACAACAGCCAAAATATAGAATTAACCTAAAACCCACCAATGGATGAATGGATAAAGAAATGCGGTATATACACACAATGGATTATTCAGTCATAAAAGAATGAAATCCTGTCCTATGCAGCAACATGGATGGAACTAGAGGTTATTACATTGAGAACAATAAGTTAAGCACAGAAAGACAAATATCACATGCTCCCACTCATCTGTGGTATCTCATGAAAACAGAGGGGGATAAAGAAACGTTTATTAACAGTTACAGTTTAGTAAAAGAAATAAGAACTGGTGTTCTATAGATCAGTAGGGTGACTACAGTTAACATTAATTTATTGTACATTTCAAAATAAGTAGAAGAGAATATTTCAAATGTTGCTGGCATTAAGGAAATATTTAAGGTAATAGATATCCCAATTTGATTATGAATGTATCAAATTACCACATGTACCCTAAAAATATGTACATCTATTATACATAATAATGTATCAAAAAATTAAATGAAAAATTTGAAGTAGAAGATGGGAAGATTCAGGAACCAGTTTCTGTGGATCACCTGTCTGGATCATATCAAGACATCCCCCTACTAGATTATCTCCAAGTTACTGAACTTCAAACCATCTACCAGCAAAATTGAGGCACAACACTCTGTAGACCTTCTGAATTTTGAAGGCAACATGTACAACATTTGAATGTGCTTTAACACCCCACACAGCTGAAGGCTTCTAATTTCAATGAATCAGCAAGTTCAGGCTGTAGTACAAGTTTCTCAAGCACTTGATCCAGCAGACCCAATGAAGCCAAAGTGTCCATGGTAAATAAGATACTGTTGGAAGCCTCTGGCAAACACAGACAGGAGACAGCTCAACCCTTTGGTATTTCAGAGCAAATCGATGCCCTCTTCTGCATGTAGCTGTTTTTATTTTGAGAAACAGGTTTTGTGGTTTGCCTTAAATGACTTAAGACAAGACTGAGTAATTTGAGATCTTATGGCCCCCAAAGCATAAAATACTATCAGTCCTTATCAAAGTCTGGCAATCTCTCCTATGCACCAAGTTACAAGTTTATAGAAAACAGCATGAAATGGAGAAGATTTAAAAACAACTTGAGAATACAATCACAAATATCTGATTGTGTGACTCCTAAGAAAAGGTGTAACTCTTCAGAAGTCAATATAATAGACAATAATAACTATTCTAGGTGAAAAAATTCTAAAAGACATAAACAATCGCAATGTATAAACCTTGAATGGGATCCCAAAACACCCAAACAACGTGTGTTGGGAAAATGTAGAGTGTTTTAGTTGTTATGCAAAGCAGACATTAATGACCCCATTATGTTTAATTTTCTTAGATGAAATACTAGTATTGTGGTTTTATTAGGAGAAAGTCTTTATAAGATGCATTACTAGATATTTAAAGGTCAACTGTCATATGTGTAATTTATGCTCAACTTACACTCAAATAATTGTTCAGCATAAAATATATTTCTCTATTTGAGTAGAGAGCAAACAACGACAATGCTAAAAATGAGTAAACCTACCATAATGGATGTTTCTTGTACTGAACATTCAAATTTTCATTAAGTTCAGATTTTTAGTCCAAATATGCTGTTAATGATTTCCATTACTCTGGTATCTGTGTAATAAAGTCCCTATCCTTTCATACTAGAGGCCCCCGTTTTCTGTTTTGTTGAGACAGAGTCTCACCATGTCGCCCTCAGTAGAGTAATCTGGCATCACAGCTCACAGCAACCTCAAACTCTTGGGCTTAAGCGATTCTCCTGCCTCAGCCTCTCAAGTAGCTGGGACTACAGGCGCCTGTCACAAGCCCGGCTATTTTTTCGTTGCAGTTGTTTAGCTATTGTTTTAGCTGGCCCGGCCGGGTCTGCACACGCGACCTTCGGTGTATGTGGCTGGCGCCGTAACCACTGTGCGACAGGCGCCAAACCTAGAGGCCCCCGTTTTTAAGCTCTGTAGGGATGCATAGTCCTAGGAACTTTAGTTGCAGAGAACAGCTGAGTATTTCCGCTTTTCTTTAACAGAAGAGCTTGCGATCTGCGTGTTCATATTTACATACAGAAATAGGCACACCCTAGACAACTAACCATCTTTCTACCCAAATGTAACACGTTAAATATAAAAATACCCAAACAAAACCAAATCCTCAGATGAAAACACTTTTAACAACAACAACAAAAAAAAAACCAGCTGCAGAGCCCGCCCCCAAACCAATATTCCACCAAGCGCTCACCAAGAACACGCCGGAATCACCAGGCAGTCCACGTGACGCAACCGGTGGAAATTCTTTTCCCTTTGGAAAAAACAAAATTCACAAACGTCGCTATTGAAGCTTTAGAAGAGGAGAACAGGGCGGACGAAAACACCCCGCGGAAGACGGGTAACAGCAGGTCCCAGAGATCGAAGGCCCAAGCGGCCTCACGGAACTGGCCGCGCCGGGAGGACCGGTGGTCCCAGCAAACCCGGCTCCCTATTCAGAGACCCCTCGGCTGCCTCGCCCTATCCTCCCTTTGATGCGCACCTGCTCCCTCCCGACCCTCCTCCCACCACCAAGCTCGCTGAACTCCTCCATGCCGAAGCGAACCCCACCACGATAAATACGAAACGCACCACACACTCTTTCCAGCACCGGAAAATAAGACCCGCGTCCTGACGCCACTTCCGCCGCCAGCCCCCGGCCGGCCGGGCGGGGCTCCTGGACTGGAGCGTCAGCCGGGTAGGACCTGCGGAATAGAGGAATTGTAGTTTCCTCCATGGAAGCGTGGGTGGGCGCTGTTGTTCCCTTAGTCAGGGACCCAGAAGCGGAGCTGGAGGTAAAAACAGGCCGAAAAGACTCGAGGAGGTTAGAATCAGGCCCACTGGGCTGGGCCGGAACCGGGGACGGGGTTGGAGCTGGACGGATTGAAAGGACCAGTTTGGGAAAGGAGGCACACCGCGCAGAACGCTCATAAAAAGCTCTTGTATATGTCCTCCGTGTTCACAGACCCTTTCTGGGGTTTGGGGGGGTTTTTTGTTTTTGTTTAAGAGACAGAATCTCATCCTGTCGCCCAGTCTAGATGCCGTGGCTTCATCTTAGTTCACAGCAGCCTCAAACTCTTAGGCTCAAGCTAACCTCTTGGCTCAGCCTCCCAAGTAGCTGGGACTACAGGCACGTTCCACCATGCTCGCTAGTTTTTCTATTTTTGGTAGAGACAGGATCCCGCTCTTGCTCAGGCTGGTCTGGAACTCCTAAGCTCAACCGATCCTCTGGCCTCACCTTCCCAAAGTGCTAGGATTACAGGAGTGAGCCACTGCGTCTGGCATCTTATTCCTTATGTATATTGGAACAACACGGTTAACTCTAGTAGTTGATTCCTTTGAGTTTTCAGTGTAATAGTATCTTCTGCAAATCTTGATTATTTTCTTGTCATCAAATATGTATTTCTGTTATTTTTCTTATTTACCCATATTGACCAGGACCACTTATAAGTTTATATGGAAGTACAAACGTGATAATAACCAAGAAAATCTTGACAAATGAAAGCAAGATATTAAAACTTACTGTAAAGTCTCTATGTTAAAACTGTATAATACTGGCACATGAGCAGGAAAAAGATTAATGGAATATCTAGAAATAGACTCAATAAGAACATGTGAAAATTTGGTTCATAAATGTGTCATTTCAGATCACTGGGGCAAAAAAAAATTCTTTTCAGATTAATATCAGGGTACAGACGATTAAGTTACCCTATTTGCATTCATTAGGTAGAGTCCAATTTGTAGCTGTGCCTCTCACCCAGGAGGTATGCCATATATGCTTACCAAAAGATGCAGTTTCTTTTCTTTTTTTGCAGTTTTTGGCTGGAGCCGGGTTTGAACCCACCACCTCCGGTATATAGGGCTGGCGCCCCACTCCTTTGAAAAAAATGCAGTTTCTAATGAAAGGTACTAAGACAACTGGTAGGCTGTTTGACAAAAGATAAAAAGATTAAATCTATACCTTGCAATGTGTGTAAGAATAAATTCCAAATGGATCAAAGATCTAAATGTGAAAAACAAAATAATACGCAAATGTGGGGTGTTCAAGAGATTTCTTGGCTAATTAAGGGGAAAGATGTGATCACAAGCCAGCAATAGCACACAAACTTTATTTGGGATGTGCTTTGACAGGTTAGCCTTGGGGGAAGATCCACGCAGCCTGTGACTATCTACAGGCTTCCATTTGTGAGTCCCTACCCAGAAACAGTGGAGGGAAAGAGAACTCCTAAAGGAAACGGAGATCAGAGAGGAGGCAATATGCTAGGTGATGTTCTGCAGCCTGGCAGAATATCTCTGCATCCAAAAACTCTTCAGGGCCCCGTGCAGTAGCGTAGGCCTATAGTCCAAGCTACTCCAGAGGCTGAGGCAGGACAATCACTTTAGCCCAGCATTTTCAGATTGCAATGAACTATGATGAGGCCACTACACTACAGCTGGGGTAGTGGGGGGTAGAGAGAGACTAACTCTGTTTCAACAAGAAAGAAAAAAAAAGACAGCCAGCAACAAAAAAGAAAGAAAGCTCTGAAGGACGGCAGTGACCCTGGGTTTTAATAGACCCAGGGTTTATTTTATCCAAAGCTGACAATCTCTCAGAATATACACAGCAGGTACACTCTAGATGGCTAAACAAATATGCTCCTTTACGGTATATTTTCAACAATCAAATGTGTTATAATTTCAGTGTGGTGGTGGTGGGCTCTTGAAAACAATTCTGGTATAAACACTGGTGTACAAAAAGCTCTTTGAGTCCCTGCTATTAGTGTTGGGTTTCAAGGCAGCTGCCTGTGTCAAACGTGGGTTTCAGAAAGCTGCCCAGGTCCTTGGACACTAGAGTGCTCTTGGACAAAAAATGACCAGGCTCCCCAGAGCAGTGGTTCTCAACCTTCCTAATGCCATGAAACTTTAATACAGTCCAAAGGGGTTGCGACCCACAGGTTGAGAACTGCTGCCCAAGAGTAAGGCAAGCATGAAACAGAGTTTATTGAGGAAGAAAAAGATAGGTTTACAGAGTAAGAAAGTTTACAAAGCAGAATACATTCACCATTGAGAGAGGGAAGCGTCTATTGTCAAAGCAAGTAGGCAAAGAGGCAAGTGTAATGGCCAGCAGTTCTTTTTTATACCACCCGGGCAGGGCTTACCTTATGTTTCAGAGATCGCCTTGGAAACAGAATTTTACTGCACATACCAACCTCCGATGAGCCTCTCTTAGAGCCCATTAGAGGGCTGTGGACCACAATGTAGATTTAAGCCAATGATGTAATTAGTCTTAAGGCTGTCTTAGGTCACCTTTAAGACTCTTGTACTTGAGAACAGTGTTTCTCAACGTTTTTTATCTCACAATATGCTTAAACCTATAAAATTTCTACTGTCAAAATATGTTGATCAAAAGAATATACTTACATGCTTTGAACTTCTTTTGAAAATAATAATCTTTAAAAATTTTTGCATTACACCAGTTAAAAATCACTGCTCTGACATATCTTTGTTTTCCTGGCAGTGTCTGTACACATGTAGACTTCCTAGAGAAGTGGTTCTAAATTCCTGACTTACACAGACTCCTGCCACTCTATTGGAATCACTGGGCATGTTTTGTTGAAAAGACTCCACTTTACTAGAGCAGAGGATGCCAAACTTTCTATAAAAGGGCAGAGAATAATTTAGACTGTGTCTTATGGTATCTGTGGTATCTACTAAATGCATCTGGAGCTGGAAGAGGCTGGAGCAGGAGCCAGCAGAAAGAGGGATGGCCAGTGGAGTCACACAGCCAGCAGCTGTGACTTGCTGGGCACCCAGCCCAGGGCCTGCTACTGCTCTGCTGTGGGCACTTGGTCACCTGAAGAGGGCCAGAAGAGAGAAGGGGTATGAGGCTGGGATCCCAGCAGCTTCTTCTTTATCTAGTAGTGGTTTCTTACTCCTGGGCAAGTTTCTGTCCTGAGCTCAGGTCTGAACTGGGAGCCTTTGATGTGCTGCCTGGGATGGTCAATCCTCTGCTCCTGGATTCACAGAAGGGAAGGAGAAGATGAGGAAAGAAAAGTAGCAACAATAATTGATCCCACTGATTCATGATCTTGTCAAAGGCACAGAATCCTATCCATGGACTCATTGATCTCATTGTACCACTACCATTCACCAGTCTAACTGGTAATTTACTCAGAATCATGTGTCCATCAGCAAGGCAGAGTCTGTAATTTGATATATGACCCACTGAAGTAAAAGCACCCTGAGACACACTCTTAGTGAAAAGGGATAGAAATAAATAATGGGATTCTAAAGCAAGCAACATGAGCACCTCTCAGATTTTGATCAGAATCACAAACCCAAAGATCAACTGTAAAGGGGGGTTGGGGATGCAATAAATGAACCCCCTGTCCTCTCAGAGTATAGGGGATTCTGTGGACTGTGGCTGGGGAGATAAGACTGAAGAACCCAGGTCACAAACACCATATGAACCCCAAGAAAGGGCTGAGGTCTGGAGATTTCATTATAGGAGAAAATGACTCAGAAAAAACCAGGGATGGAGTCCCAGGCCCCAGCAGAGAGAGGAGAGGTGAGGCTCAGAGCTGGCCCTGGGGGACCCATTCACAGCACAGTCACTTCCCAGCTCTGCCTGTCTCCTCCACCCACATCCTCCTTCTGACTTCAGCACCAGGGGGCCCACACTGGAGTGACAATGAGCACCCTGCTCCCAGTCTGGCCTCCAGTCACAGTCCTGAGGGCCCAGTGGTACAGAAGTCCATGCAGTGGCCCTGGAGGTGACAATGGCAGTGGGAAGCCAAGGTCCACAGTGTTGTGTCCATTCCTGATCCATGACCAGTTCAGTTTCTGCCAGGGCAGCAGAGACAGCTAGGGTAAGTCAGCCTGTCCTCTAAACAGGAGGTGGAGGCCCAGGGACCCAGAACCACCCAGGGATGTCCTGGGAAGGGTATGAGAGGAAATACCAGGCCTCTGACCCAGCTTCCACTTACCACCCCCAGCACCACCTCTTCCATCTTCATCTCCTGGTCGGAAAGATACCCTATGGTCTTTGACTAACCTCTGAACTTTGCAGAGTTCAAGCTTGAAGTGGCCTATGTGGAGGTCACTCTGTCCACATCACACGTAGAGCATCAAGCAAACATTGGTCTTGCCCAGCTGGAGCACCTGGGACCCATTGGGGCAAACACAGAGGGTGAGGTAGCCAGCTTTCCGAGGGTGGAGTTTGGGGCTAAAATTCTCTTCAATGTGGGGAGGTAATGGTGCCCAGTATGGAGTGACAGATGCTGGTGACTTCTTCTCCTTTTCCATCTCCTGCTCAATCTCCAGACCAACAAGCACATCCAGTGCCGGCCCTAGAGCCAGCTCCAGCACGTCTGGGAGAGCTGAGGCCTGCTCTGGAGCCAGGGGCAACTGAAGCCCAGGAACTGTTACAGTATCTGAAGCCAGCACCAGGGCCACGGACAGGGGCAGCACCAGCACCTAGGACAGAGCCACCATCAGTGACATCAGAGGCACAACCAGAGCCAGTTCCAGGGCCCTGCCGTCTCTGCTCTGTACCTGAGAACAAGCAGCACAGGGAGGGGCTGCCTCCCATCAAGGCCTTCACTCCCAAGCAGCTGGCAGAACAGCTGCTTAGAC